ACTAATCTGTGACTAAGAGTTCCCCGCCCCATCTCTTACATTTTCCCCACATACTGTATGTATGTACATTTGTATGTGTCTAAACAATGTCTATACATACATACATACATGTACATTACAGGAGTGCTCAGTATATATGTGCTGTGTGTACTCTACAGGGCAAGTACACAATACAACTGAGAACTTTAACATTCAACTTTTATGATTTTTTCATCAAATTCATAAGTTTCTAAGCATAAATGCCAGATGAGACTATTTAAATACAGATGGAATTCCAAGAAGAAGCAAACAAGCACTCAATGGCACATTTTAACACCTATGGACCTGCAAGGAAAAAACTTTAACATTTGAGGGCGGACGGCACAACTCAAAATTTTAACATTCAACTTTTATAATTTTTTCATTAAATTCATAAATTTCTAAGCATAAATGCCAGATGAGACTATTTAAATACTGATGGAATTCCAAGAAGGAGCAAACAAGCACTCAATGGCACATTTTAACACCTATGGACCTGCAAGGAAACATTTGAACAGTTGAGGATGGACGGATGCCGGACGCACCGATGGATGCCCCGACAGAAGACAGAAATCAGTACCGCCCAAAACAGAATTTTCAAGTGTTTCCAATATCAGTCCCTAATCACACAATTAATTGGCTTCTCTGGTGTGGTTTTAACATGAACAGAATTCCTCAAATTAAAGAGACAAACGACATTTCGTAAATTTCACGTTTGTCACCAACCAAGGCTTTAGCCCTACACAATGTGGGTTGCGTTTTAATTTTTGGTATATGGCAATATATGATTCCAAAACAAAAATCAAACCTTTCAAGGAGTTCCAACATTTAAAGACCTTCAAATGACTAGGTCAGAGATCAATCCCCAGTTTGAAAAGAGCAGATCTTTGAGAAAGGTGCAAGACCCTATACATAAATGTGAATCAACCTCTGGTAACACAGCGAGTCATGAGTCACCCACACTACTTTTGAGTTAGAGTTTGAAGCATTTTTTTCCATTGTGCAAAACTGGAAAAACAGGAACTGATAATAAATTCATG